TGTTTTATCATATTTAAGGTCAAAAATGAAAACCAGGTCACTTTTAAACATTGATTTAGCATCAGAAGGTCAGATATTGTATTGATTAAAAGGTCACTGTTTAGCTTTGCAATAGTGCTTGATATTTTCTTTTACTATAATTAAGAAATAAGTTACAAATATTCATATGATGCAAGTTTGTCATTTTTGATGAAAATTTTAGTTTTCAACCTGTATTATAACTTAAAACATTTTTAAGTTAAAAATCTTAAAATTGGTACAATGACTTACTTTGCCGTGAATGTTGGTTACACAAAAATTTTGTTAAAATTGAAGATGGGTTATTCAAAAGAGATTGATCTGATGAAAAATGACTAATCTTAAATCATCATAAATTAACCACAGATCATTGATGGTTTTTAAAAATAATGTCATCATCAGGAGTTGATCTCTATCTAAAACTATCATCAAGACCTATAAACAAAGCATTTACATCCTTAAATTTGAAGTTAAGAAAATTTGCTTATAAGTAAAAATAATGCATACTATCCTGCATTGAACAACTACAATTAATACAGTACAAGCCTTCATATTTATAATTAACCCCTACCAAACAATGAATGGCAATCAAAACCAAATTAGTTCCACATAAAGTTTCACACAGATGTTGACCGAAGATGAAAACTAAATGAGCCCCAATCTCACACAGACCACCACCTTCCTATATTCAAACACTGTCAGGTGCTTCCACTTAATCATAAAGAAAGCAAAATAGAAAAAATTAAAAAATAAATGAAAATATTCCATTACTTCCCTATATAGGAGAAATTCAATATTTCATTTTCATATATTCTCTTATGGTAGATGCATTAAAAATCAAGTTGAAACCACATATTGCCTGCCTAAAACACAGGCAAAGAAGGAATTTTAGAATTAGGGTGTAAAATAGTGAAAAGGGAGAAACAAAAATATTTGTTTTCCTTAAGAATTGTTCTTTAAAAAACTAATCAGTAATAGGTTGGAGTGTGCATTATCAAACTCAAATTTATTATGGTAATATGAAATTCATTCAGTCTGTATTGATACCTATTCTTATCAAAAAGTAATTCTTATAAAATAGGGAAAAAAATTGGAAGTTATTAATGATATCTAAAAAAATGGAGGAATCATAGACTGAACTTTGAAACAATTAAATATTGGCAGAAAATGTTTTACAGGTTAGATAAATAAAGGAGTTTTAAAAGCCAAACAATTATGAGAAAATAATGAAATCTGGAAAATGATGACTGTACAAAACTTCTTATTGGAGAAGCTACATAGAACACAAATTTAATTCTCAAAAATGAGTTTGAAAACATGACTTTGCCATTTCAAATAGGATGCTAGAAGATGAAATATTGAAAATTGCCATTTCCTTTGGCATTAATAATTTCAAAGTTTCTTCCATGCATGTGAAGCAGAAGGAAAATAGGTTTAACATCTCCATGCAAAGAGGCATGAATGAAAGCCAGAAATTACCTGCAAACTAGGTTGAAGCTGTTAATCGATTCTTCAAAGCTGAATCTATTTTTAAAAAAAATCAATATACATCTTTTGACATCACAAACAGGGACTAAACTGTCAGCATAGAGTGAATATAGCAGAGAGTGATTATTCTCAGTGATGAAGCTAGATAAAAATAAAACAATCTTTATTTGATCAATAAACTTTGATAGAAAAAGCTTGTTCATAGTCAATAAAGATTACCACACAGCCTCAAAAGTTACATCATGCAAAAAGTGCATTCAGCATAAATGGCCAATCAGTTAGGTAATTGCCAATAGCTGGATTTTGCAATTATTAAGCAGTACACCTGGCTTAAATCATATTGGGAAATAAGATACATATAACAAAAATATATGCAGTATTAAACAATGTGTAAAAAATTTAATTAAAAGAATTGCTAATACTTCCCACAACCTATATTTGTAATACAAAAAAAAATTGAAAAATTATTTTTCAAAATTGGTTATTTATGGTAAAAAAACAGCAATTTTTCAGAATTCTTCAGCAAAATTTGATTCTGCTTTTCTCTTCATTAATTAACCCTATTTCTGAGAATAATCTCTCACTGTATATACCAGTAAAAAGGAGTAGTGTTTGAAGCTAAATTTGATGATATTAGCTTTGTTGATTTTTCACAAACTGAATGAAGATGTATTTTTTTTAATAAATCTATCAAAAGATTATTATATAACTCTTAAAAACGATCTCTGTCACAAATAGTTAAAATTTGAACTAAGTTTACAATTATTATAACATTTAAAATGCTAAATAATGATTTAAAAAACAATGAAAATAATCCCCACATTCTTCATCCTTGAAGAACAACTTGATGCATCTAATCTCGCATAGGCTAGAATTTAAAAATTTTGTCTCAGACCCAGGGGTGAGAGTGAGTGGAGGGAAGGAATAAGAGAAAAAAATGAGGATGCCAACAAGTGAAATTATAGAAATAACCTCTTCATTCTGGCAAATGAGGACCATTTTTTACAAGACAATAGTGAAATTTTATTGGGAACAACAGAAAATAAGAAAAAGGAAATTAATAATGCTTGTGAAAACTAAATATTTTATAAATAATTTTTGGTGTTTGAAATACTTATTAAGGTCTTGAACATAGATTTCATTTTCTACAAGCAAATATAAACCATACAAACAAAACTTAATTTTTGATAAGAAAAGACACCTAAAGAAAGCCATATTTGATTTATTTAATAAAGTTAGTAGATCAACTTAATAGACAATATGGGAAAAAGGTAAAGCCACAAAAATCATTTGAGTTCTTGACCTTGGGTGTAAAACAACATAACTCTAGCCTGTACAACTTCAGATGGCCAATTACAGAAGTTATCAAATTTCTGAAAACAGCACTCACATAAAAACACTCTAGTGGATCTACCTCCCAACATTGGACTTAATTCCTAAGCATGGATCCACCAAAACAATGGAATGTCAGAAACACCCCTCCAGAACAAAATGCCAAAATGTCCTCCAACGCTAAGAGCTAAAACAAAAAAAATTGGCCCCTCATTCACAAGCCTTAATAAGTTCCTGATAGATTTCCACAAAAAAATCATTCTAGACCTGCCAATTTTTGAAAATCAATTTTACCCCCAAGTGTTTTTCTAGATGACCCTGCAGCAACATTCATTTTACCACCTCTGATTTTCCACCAGTGACCCCTCCTTCTGTGAGCTCATTCATTTTCTCTCATTTTGTTTAGAAAATACAAATAAAATTAAGTATTGTACCTTTATTTCACATTTTGATGAAAAAAGAATGCATAAATATCATTTCAAACACTCATTTTGCAATTCCTATAACTTCAAGTTTATTTGTCATTCACTCATGACAAATAAGTGAATGACGCTGCTACTTCTCAATGCAATTATGCCAGTTTTATCAGAAATTGAGAGATAAGACGCCAATTAGTTCACCTTAAAGACCTTCTCTTTTCGTTTACGAAGTAGAACATTTAAGAAGTACAATAGTAAATAGGTAAATAAAATTTGTAAGTAATGAAGGAAAATGTTGCATGAAGGTGAAAAAAAAAATTGGAACAGTTCTGAACCATTATCACAATTGCATACAAAATAATTATATCTTCAACAATCAACATGGACAAAACCAAACTAAAAGAGATATGCAGCCTTCCCCTTGAAAATACATCATTCATAGCAAAACCACCTGATCCATGACATAATGTTAAGCTTCGCCAGTTATCATGCAATTAATACTTGCCCTGCACAATTATTAATGTAGAAGATATTTTCATAAAAACATACTACATTTTAGTCAAGTGCTAATATAAAATAATACTAATAATAAAATCATACATAACGTAAAAAATTTCTTAACAGCAAAAAAAAATTAAAAAAAGCAAAGCAAATAAACGCATATAATTTTATGAAGGAAAAAAATAGTAATAAGTAAATGAAACATTCGCTTGGTCATAAAACTGTACTATACAAAACAATTTATGAATCACAAAATTTATTTTAATCTCAATACAAAGTTTCTCACAGTTGATTAACAATGTCATAGTCTCTCATCAATTGAATGTTAAATTTCCTTAACTTTAGTAAATCTATCAGGGGTATTCCAAAAATTGATAGTGTTACCAATCAATATTATTTCAATCCCAGAAAAGAGGACTCATCTTGTAGAAATACCAATTTTTGGCCCAATTTGGTACTATAAGAAAATGTAACTTATTGAAAATTTAAAAAAATAATAACTCTTTAATCATTGTGATTGATTGTTTTAAAACTAATTCTGAATTCAGAATATAAATATTTTAATTCCAGAAAATTCCATGAAAATCTGAGATGGTTAAGTTGAAATAATGGAATGATTCATATAAAAGAATAATTTGAATTTCATGAATGAGCCATAACAAGCAAACAAAATGTGCCACTAAGCGAATGTTAAAAAAACAACATAAAATGAATGTATTTTAGAATTATAAATATACAATCCCTGGCCAAATTATTAGACACACTATAAGATTCTATGTAAATTCTTAGCTAACATACAGCTTTATAGCTTTTATGTGACTGAAATTGGTTAAATTAGATTATAATAATTAGATCAAACTATTAGACACACTGCAGTTTTTTAATAATTACATGATTTGCACAAGTTTATATGCAATACTTTTACATTTAAATATACATGAAATGGGTTTTTATTCAGGAGATTTTTTTATATACTTCCTAATTGTATTTATTTTTAACGTATTGCATTACAATGTTAACCAATGGATACAGGAGCATAAGCAAATACAAGCCTGTTTCATCCAAGTAAAAACAATAGAACTGTGTAGTATCACCTGATAATTGTAATTTTACATATAATCTTATAGTGTGTCTAATAATATGGCTAGGGACTGTATAAATACTAAATTAATAATAAATTTCTGAAGAGCTCAGAACTAATAACAAGTAAATTTCGAATTAATAAAAACCTTTTTTACAAACCTTAGAAAGTTTCAAATTTTTTGTGTTTTGATCTTGCATTGTACCAGTTTCATCTCCTTCTGGATGAGAAATTAATGTCCACTCATACTTGTAAGTATCACCTACACATTAAAAAATTATTGTGTTTATTTAAGTAAAAAAGATTATAAATTTAATTACTTATTTATAATATGATTATTATTATGGTTATTTATTACTTAATTTATATGAACAAATCTTTTTGATATGAATGCAAAAAATTGCAAAGACATTTACTGCTTCATTCAAAAGAATTCTGGAATTTTAACAAATAAAGTGCCTTGTACAGTGAGTCAAAAAAGATATCACCCTGAATAACTTAATAATAGTTGCCTGAATAAATCAACTTCTAATTTCCAAAAAGTAATTAAAAGTATTTTTTTTTAAATTACTCATAAAATTAAATTATTAAACATTAAATTGCTAAAAAATATCCTTTCAATTCTTATGTTTTATTTAATAATTTTCACAAAAACATTTTTTTGCATCATCACTTGCTGTTTTTTTTTAAAGAAGTGAAGAATTTGAATTGCATATTATGTATACCTGTTGTTTACTATAAATCAGATAATAATTTTAAGTCAATTTGCTGAATAAGTGAATAGTTGAAGCACGATTCAAATGCATTCTATGTTTTCAAAAAACTGCTCTGAAAAAAAATTATCACACATATCTGAAATTCATACTTTTTTTTTATTTTTTAAGGCATCATGTTTTTATAAGGAGTGGCAAAACTTTGTCGCGTTTTTAATTAAATGCTACCAATTTTTTTCCTTATTTAATCCACTTTTTTAAATAAGGCATTGAAAAAACTAACTACTCAAATTTAGATTATAATAGATTTTTTATAACTCTCTTTGGAATCATTTAATTTGTACCAATAAATAAAAATTTATTCAGCTCATTTCGATAAATTATGAATTTCAGTAGTAGTAGTCCTGACAAAGGTTGATGTTTTTTGTATTTTCCCCCACTAGCACAGTTAATTATGTTTTGAGTTATAATTTACTCAATTCTTCTGATTATTTTTTAAATGATTAAATTCCCCTCAACTATATTCCTACTTTATACTACTGAATAAAAAATAACCATATTTCAATCATTTTCGTATACTAATTAATATTTTGTATTTCCATTTCCCCTTTTTTAATTTCTCTTAATAAAATATAGGGATAAATTTTTCTATTTATTTCTCTTTCCTTTTCACCCTACCCCCTTGTAAATCAAAGAGAAAACGAATTCAGCAAGTCACTCCTTTGTGCTTGATTGATGGCAGCCTATCAGAAAAAAGATTCTTTCCAACACACAGAAAAAAAATTTAAAAAATTGTCTCTTTCCCACCCCCTTATTACCTAAAGATCTTCAATGTCTAGAAAAAATTTTTCAAGCTTTCTCTTCACAAACAGGGAGAAGAATCCCCCACATTTTTCTCTACTCAACTTCAAGGATGAGTCAAATTTCCTCAATCGTACTAGTTCAAAATGGTGGGAATACCGAGCAAAATTTTTCTTCATTTTTTGGATACCGGATGAATGGTTCTGAATGGTCATGCACAAGAACTATATTAAACTATTTCAAACATTTACTATATTAAATCAGTGTCAGATTTATGTATAAATTGACACTAATTTACTATCACTTTGCATTAGATAATGCTTGCAGATTTTTTACAGATTATAGTAAGTTTTTTAACCTGATATTTACAATTATTATTGCATTTTAAAAACAATAACTTTAAATTATATACAGTGAAAGTTCCATATCTGGAATCACCAGGACTTTAGCAAGTCAAGAAAATAGATTTTTCCAGACAATAGAGTCTTTAACGTAAACAAAGATCAAAACATTGTTATTCAATAAAAAATAACAACTAGACGATAATTAACATCAATTTCAATAAACAATGAATAAATCTGTGAGGTTACGCTATTTTCGCAGCTTACTGATTCCTATGCGGTTTTTGAAGTTTCAATATTTTAAAATGCTATTATTGCATGCAGCAAGTTCCGAATCACTCATTTCAGTTAGTAATAATTTCTCAATCCAGTCAATTAGAGATGATTCCACGATGAATCCGCGTAGTTTTAACTATTGTTTTTTCTGTAGTTATTAAAATAGATTTACACTTGGTTTTTAAAATCACGTTTTAATATAATATCATTCGGCACACTTCAAATGGCGCATTTTATATTAAATTATTGACTTTTCAACTGCAATCTCACGTGGATTTATGATCACATTTTTTTAAGTGCTTGCTGCTGATTTTCATAACTTTTTAATGCTGCATTATAATACATGGGAAACTTTGAATTGCACATTTATAGAATTGCTTTTTGATGCACTCGATTTATGTTGAGATTATTGTCTACATGGCTTTATCGATCAAATTTTCAACAATTTGCGATTTCCACATAGTTTTTAAATGCTCAATTTCATTTTTAGTATAATATTAATACAAGAATTCTGAATTGTGTTTTGGAATTATCATTTAATGACTTGCTTTAGTCATGACCATTTCATCTCAAATCTGCAATTTTTTCAAAATGTGAAATTTTTGTGCACTCTTAAACTGAGTGTGTGTTTCTTGTCAATAATAATCTTTTTATGCGAGACGTGAAAATAAATTCGCAATTCTTTTGTGCTGCAGTGAAATGATGAATTTTGTTGCGGCGATAACTGTTTTTTTTAGTCTTATAGCGAGAGTCGGAATAAAATCGAACAAAAATTGGTGAAAATCATAAAGCGGAGGATTCTCATCCCCGCATGCTTTTTTTAACGGGTTATAAGTGTAACACAAAAAATTCTTAAATTGAAAAGAGTTTTGATTTTTTTGATTCTTAAAAAATGTTTGGAAAAGAGACTGTTCTGGTAAACAGACATCCAGATAAGGGACTTTGTGTTATATTTTAAAACAATTCATAGCCTTTTAAAATTAAACATGTGCATCAAGAAATTAGAAAAGGACACTTTAAATAAACTTTAAAAGTGTTGTTTTTTTAAACAGAGAAAGTGTTGTAGGAGAGAGAGAGCTGTTTTTTTAAAAGAACAATTAAAATTTTAAAAGAAAATTCGTACTTTGTATTCATTACAGGTGTAAACACATAATTTTAGAATCCATACAATGTTACATTAGAAATAATTATATTTTCATTACAAATTTAAATTTGAAATTAAAAAAGTGACTGCATAAATAAACCCAGAGGTTCTGAGGAAAAAATATTAAGGTTCACTTAATATCACCTTCTAATTGTTGAACAGCATAAGCAGAGAGCGTAACTTCGTTTTCTGGCAATTGTAATGTTACATTATCTCCTGCTGACACAACAAGTTGATGCACTGAAGAAGTAGTAGTTAGTGACTTATCAGTAACATTTTTCACAGAAACAGTTGCCTAAAAAATTTGATATTTTGACACACAACAATAAAAGATACGCATGCACACACTAGCATTGTAAAAAAAAAACAATATTAAATAATCCATACATAAAAAACAATTAGTATGAAACTAGGTAAGTATTTTTAGTTCTTATCATAAGAGTTCATATGGTGATATGTAGAGACAGGCATAGACGAAACTGAATTTGTTTCTACCTTTAAAACAGGATAAGTCACAGACACGAAACAAAAATTTGGAAGATATTTCAGGCATGTTTAATTAACAAAAGTTTTATTAACAAGCAAAATGTTTTTCAAATTCTAGTACAGTGTAACGTCCCATATCCGGACGTCCCTTTCCCGGAAGGGTCGATTTCCCGGACACTTTTTAAGAATCAAAATAAACCAACATCTCTCCATCATCCCCTTTCCTTAAAAAAAAAAGAAAAAAAAAAAGAAAAGAAGTCTTTTGACACATTTTCTCTTTTCTGCATCGAACCCATAAATCACCAGAAAGGGGAAGTGAAGATCTACCAAGACCATTGAGTGACCGTTAGTGACGCTCCTCCCTTGGAATGTAGGAAAAAGAGGGAGATTTGTTTTCAAAAGACCGCAACTGAGTCCCCTCCCCCCCCCTTTCCCATGCAGGTGGCTAGTAAAAGAGGCATTTCCTGGAACCTTTTTATTGAAAGAAGAAATACTGTGGAAAAGGGTAAACGGGGCAAGCGTTAAGGTGGAGGGGGAGTCAAAATGGAAAATTTGAATAGGTCTAAAAGGATACACGTCCTTGAGAAACAAAACATTCGTTCTTCCCCATACCATGTAATATTTAGGAGGCGGGGGAAAAAGGGGGTAACATTCTTTCTTTAGCAGATTCTTTCAGTCATAGAAGAAAAAATAAAGAGAACCCGATCAGCGTGCCCCGCCTTTATGCTTGATTGATAGCCAATGATTGGAGAGAAAACAATAATTTGTTACTTCCCCACCCTCAACTTAAATGATCTCCTCTTTACACTTATTTTCTTTCACAAATAAGGAGGAAATGAATTTTTCTCCTCCACCTACCCACCTTAATGAATGACGGGAATTTCCCTTTCTTGCTTGAATCATTCTAGTTAAAAATGGCGGATTATTATTTTCATATGTCAATTTTTTTTCGTTTTCTATATTTTAAGCAATAATATTTTTTTTCTAATATTTCATATTTTATTGATTAGATATTCTAATACTAAAACATTATTCCCCTTAAAAATAATGTTTACTTATTTTTTGCTTCTTAGATTTAGATCATTTTAAGCTTTGTTCCAGAATGACATGAATTTCCCCATCCTGCTTGAATCGTTCTAGTTCAAAATGGCGGATTAATATTTTCATAACTGTTAAATTTTTTTCATTTTCCATATTTTCAGCAATAATATTTTTTTTCTAATATTTTATATTTGATTTAGATATTCTAATGCTAAAACATTGTTCCCCTTAAAAATAATGTTTATTTATTTTTTACTTCTTAGATTCAGATCGTTTATTAAATCATTTTAAGCTTTGTGTACCTTGGGGGTCTATTATACGGAAAAATCTATAATACGGACTTCTGGAAGTCTCACCGATTCCGGATACGCGACTTTACACTGTAGTAATATTTCAGTAATGATTGCTATCAAAAATGTTTTAGCAGTATCTATTCCTAGAATAACTAAATTTCTACAGATGGCTTCTTCTAAACTTACGCATGCCTAAAATGCATAATTCAAATACCAGTACCAATTTGGTAAAATGGACTATCTGAAAGGTCCAAAAAGACAAAGCATTAGATGGTTAAAGAGGCTCCGGTCAAGCAGGTTTTGCCCTTTTTCCAATTAACACAAACATAAAAAATGGCATTGGAAAAAGGAAATATATTCCAAAAAAAACCTTTATATTTTTAAAAAATGTTTAGTAATGTTTCTTCTTGGGGGGGGATAAATAAAAATAAATCACACAAAAAATTATAAAAACGCGATTTCCAAATTATATTTTTTTTTACTCGCTCTTTACAATTTACTTCATGTTACAACATCTTTTCCTAAGAAAATTCTGAAGGTTAAGTTGTTTGTTTGGGTCCATATGGAATAAAAAGTTATCCAACACCCTGAAGTAGCCTGATGGACTGTAAGGGGATACATAAAAATAAAAGTCTGTCACATCGTCCTGATATGAGCACACTTGTCGACATTATTTTTAATGCAATTTTTACCTATTGACACTAAACATACTATAACCAGTCAAATGACCGTTTAAGAACTTTTGCATTGAAAATGCGCTTATCATCTTTTCGTGTTTGCACATCTGACTGCATGACTTTTTCTAACAATTATATGCAGTTAATATTCTAATATTATTATTTTTTTGTATACTGTTTGTTCTGAATAATACTTGTCGTATATCTTTACCACAACTGGTCATTTGACTGGGCGAACAATTTATTATGATGTAATGCATGTTAAACGTATTGCTTTCGATTAGTTGCACATTTCTGCAAAGACTGCTGCATAGTTAGTTCAAACAGAATAACTGTGAATTCAAATTTCTAGAAAGTACCTAAAATTTTAAATTGGCATTTTTGTGTAAAAAAAGTGACAAAACTAAATGTTTTGGTAGTAGCTTATATTTTATTTCGATAGCTTTACTTCATATCTAACTGTCAGTTTTTACCCAGAAAAATGTTGAAACAATCAAGACAGCACAAGTTGTTAGAAGCAATAATATTAGTTAAAAGAATTATAATTCTTATAACTATAAGAATAATTATTCTTATAATTTTAAGAATAATTATAAGAATTAAAGAAATAATAATGATTAGAAGAAATATGCTTGCTAAAAATGTACAATGGAAACACCCTGTATAAGTAAAAAATGCGTTGAGCAATGAATTAAATATTTTTTTTGTATTTGCAATACATTAAAATTGGCAATGTACAATTTTATTTAATTATAATAGAGTTTTTTTAGTTTATTTCCTTTCTAACATCCATATTTCATGCATTCAATCAGGAAACATAAAGTCTGGTCATAGGTATACATTAAGTGTTGGTATGTTTAGTGTTAAGAATTATTTTAAAGGGTAGTTTTATGCATAAACCACCTTTAAAAATGTGTTACGTTATTATCAATTCTTCCAATAATTACTGAAAACTTATTAAAGTAAAGTATTGCTTTGTTAAATTTAGTCTAGTGCTTTTTAGTTATGAGTGAATATTTACCAAATTTTTGTGCACTCAGAATATAATGACCTCTTGTTACAACGTCCATTTTCACCCAAATCACATAGTTCATTATAACAAGCTTTGACTGAATTAGTCTTTTTAAAAAGCTTTTATTGCAATATCAAAGTTTACTTTAAATTCACAATTTTCATAAAAGTCAGTAACAGTACACTAAAGAGATAGGATCACTTTCAAATTGTACTTCATGTTTTAAAAAGAAATAAAATAAATTCTTAAATATAGTTACCTGACTCACAGTTATTGAAGGAGAAATAGTAATGTGACGATTATGATTTCTGATTAATGGCTTTTTTTTGCAGATTCCTTCAGCATCTCGTACATATTCATCTTCACATTCACAAAAACCACTTCGAGCACGATTATTTTTTGGAACACATTGTTCATGTTCAGGACAATCAGTATTTAAACCAAATATACATGACTTAAACACTGTTTTAAAATCTTCACCTTCATTTTGATTTGATGGTTCTCGTTGAACATCCTTAACATCCTCAAAGTTTAATTCAGGAAAACTATTTTGAGCAGAAACACTAGATTCATTAATTTCAACAACAAACTATAAGATCATAAAAGTTGCTTCAACACAAAAGTAAAAGAAACACTCCAAATAAGCGTTACAAAGATATTTAGAAAAAATCCTTTTATGTGCTTTAAATAAAATAGTGTAATTATTCATTAATCGGTCTACTAATTATTTATTACCTGTGTAATTATTTATAACTTGCCTACCACAGACGTATATGTAGGCTTTGCAAAGCCGACATTTTAACTGCAGCTGGTGTATATATACGCCATTCAAAAGCTGCACTGCGCTGCTGTTAGTAAAATCACTCTTACACCTTTGGAGTGCAATAGAATGACCTTGAAAGTGTTTTCAAAAGAGGGGAGTAAAGGGGAGTTTCTGGAAAGTAAATCATAGCTGTGCAGTTACTGCTTGGGTTTCTTTTGAGTAGTAGACGCTTTTTTTACTTTCCTTTCCCTTTCGTTTTTGTCCCAGTGTGTAATAAAAGTTTTTATTCTTTATGCAAATATGTCTGAGAGTAAATTAAATTAGTATTTTCCTTCATCTTTGGGGTTAGAACTTCAAAATATAACATTACTTTTTCACATCTAATCAAAGAATGAAACTGATATACACAAATTCAAAAAAAAAAATACAAAATAAGAAAATAACATTTAAAATAATATGTCAAAATGGAAAAGCTCTGGAAGCAGATGTAACCAAATTTGTCTTATTTTAATAATTTAGAAAGTTAGAAACACAAATCAAGCAGAAAACAAGGAATATTCAAAATTATGTATGTTAGCAAAACAGCACTTCATCAGGGGCACACTGTCTGCCAACATACAGGAGCCTTTCTGTCGTCAATGGTCATACCAAAAACTGACTGTGCCCCCGATGCCCCATAATAGCTGAACTAAATAAGAAATAGCAATTAAAAAAGCAAAAATTGAAATGTAAACGCAACGAAAAATTAATGACAAACACAATTCAAAAGCATACAGAGTAAGACTTAATAATGAAACGCCCACATATAAGAAAAATAAATAAATATAATTAGAATAACCAAATCAAAATAAAATATAAATTGCCAAATCTTTAATAAAAATCTTCAGAAATATATCAAGTGCTGACCCCTTCCGAAAAATCTTGAAATATAAAGCAAAAACATTTAATGAGTAAAAATTCCAAAAAAGTGCTGCCATCTATATGCTTCAGGAACAAAAAAATCCTAAATTATATCATACATCCTTATTTAGTTTACCCATTATGGAGTCTCGGGACACCGTCAGTTTTTGATATTACCACTGAAGACAGAAAGGCTCCTGTACGTCAGCAGACAGTGTGCCTCCTGATAAAGTGCTGTTTAGCTAACATACATATCTTTAAATATTTTTCGTTTTCTGCTTGATTTGTGTTTCTAACTTTCTAAATTATTACTTTTTTTACATTCAATACAAATTTTTTATTATTATACTGTTATACTTCAAATTTTGTATTTCGTTATTTCTTGTTGTTTTTTATAAAAGTAAACAGTTTTTAGATTTAAAAGCGTCTCTCTTATTTTTTCTTAATACAACCAGTGGCACTGGGGAGGTGAATAACGAAATTTTCCTCGGTAGGCAAGGGGTTAAACAAATCAAATGTGTCAAGTAAAATTTACACTCAAATACATTTACTGAAAATGAAGGTTTCTTAATTTAAGTTACATTTTCTAAAAGGTAAAAATTAGATTACATACAGAAGTGCTATTGCAACAATTTATAATCTCAAAAGAGTTTTAATCTTTTTTTAAAATTTGTAGTTTAGAGACTGAGTCATTTTCATGCTTTTATAATAGGGCAGGTTTACATTAAAATAATTTGGATGAATATGCAAAAATGTAAAAACACATTTTTTCAAAAATATTTCCCACAGCAATAAGCTTAAATAGTATTTTTTTACAGTAATTGTTATAATAAGGCAAGTGTTTAAATTAAAATAATTTGGATGAATAAGCAAAAATGTAAAAATAAATTTTTTCAAAAGTATTTCCCACAGCAATAATCTTAAAAGTATTTTTTATATGTTTATGTAAAAGCAATTCTTACACATTCTTTTAAAGAATATTTCTTTACTTTACAACATTTTTAAAAAGTGACTTCAATTGTTCAGATATGAACATGCCTGCATCACTACTGAACAAGAGTAAAAAAAAAAAAAATACAATCATATTTAAGAGGGAAAAAGCTTTAATATATTAATATTATGAAGTGGCAATAACCTATTATGAGAATTTGGAAAAATGTTGTACAATTTTAAGTTATCTAAAAGAAAATATTTTTTCTCAAAATAATATACTATATGCTGGGTATCTGCTACATTTTAGATTTTCAAATTCATGACTAATTCAAAAATTTTTCATGACTTAACGAAGTTACTATCTTCTCCGTCAATAACACAGCAATAAATTTAAAAAAGCATTATAATAACATTAATTGAAATGATAGGTATAACCAAAACTGTTATACTCTGCATCTTCATATTTATAGATTTTAAATTTAAAAAACAAAGTAAAGAAAGAGTTAAAGCTGAAAAAAATACAAAAGTAAAAAAAAAAAAAATTTTTTTCTGCAGAATTATATTCTTAAGATACTTTTCTTGTTCATTGGAAAGGAAAGAAATACTCCTGATTTTTCTGTTCTCATTTCGGAATAAAAAAAAATTCACCAATGACTGGCTTGCTTCAGCTAGAATTTGAAATTGATAAAATAAAAAATATATAATAACAAAAATTCTGAAATCACAGAAGTTTAAAAGATAATTCGCTCAAGAAATTTTTTTTCTCTTTTATTTTTTGAAAGAACACCATAATTTTTTAAAGAACATAGAAAAAAAAATTTATATTTTCATAAAATAAGACTGTGAGTGGGAATTTTGTTGCAAATTCAGATATTTCTAACACCATGAAAGTGGGGGGGGGGGGGATAATTCCTTTTTAAAAATTAGATTTTNATCTAAAAGGTGCTTTTTTTTTAAAAAAAAATGTTAAAATCATGACAAATTTTGTTCAATACCGAAATTCATGACTATCCATGGCTTTTCATGACTTTCCAGGTGCGCAGATACCCAGTATATATCCCAGATATTCGGCTTACAGAATACTGAAAAAGTTTGGTAGCATTTTCTCCCCTGCAATCCATTGAAATACATTTTATTTTAAATTAATCGTACATTGAGCAAAATAAGAAAGAGAAATCCAAATAACTTTTAATTCAACAACCAGATTAATATGCATTCTTAATGGTTCGAGCGCTTAAACATTTAATACACTAATTAATTACAAAAAGAAGAAAAGAAGTTGACATAACGTCTAAAGTGAATAGGGGGCATCGAAGCCATCAAAATGCTAGGCAAAAGAAGCATTTTACAGGAAGGTTTGTTCTTCATCCACTCTTAAGCAAATTATAACAGGCTTCATGCATTGGTACAAATGTATTAATTTTCTATAATCAATATAATTTCATTTTAGTTGCGTTATTTGTCTATAATTATCAATAAAATATGTGTTCATACACTTAATGATAAGTGGATAGCTTGAGGAATTCTTTTAATTTTACAAATCAATTTCAGCTGATTAACTAATGTCTCCAATAAATTTCTTTTGTCTATCTCAGTAATTTCAACTAACTTAGATTTTGTATAAAAGAATATAAAACTGTTTAAAATTATTTGCAAGTTTATGTGAAGAAGAGTATTAAGCATTCCTCTGAGTTTTGCGTTCCCTCTAATGGGATTTTTATCTTGGAACATTTAAGGAAGTTTGAATTTTTCACATTTGCAAGATTTTTAAGAAGCAGATAAAATAGTATGGAATTTTTTACAGATAATTTTTTTTTTTCTGAAAAATATCTTTTTGATGTATTCTGTTACATATCAGTCATAATTTTAAGGACACACTCTTGGTATGTTCACTGAAAAGTTCTTGGAACTTTTTCAGTTTTAGTCAATGCAATTCAGCAAAAAAATACCATTATTTGAAAGTTTTAAATGACCTTTCATATTAATTGATTTTAGGTATCGCTAAAAAAATTACAAAATTCTGTCAAAAGATCAAATAAAAATTGTAAAGACTTTTCCAGCTTTTGTTACGTTTTGAAATAAGAATTGGATAGGTTTTGTATAATGGAGAGTTGAGTGAAAGCGTTTTTATTTGTCTCCAAAATAACTTTTGACTTATACAATGGAACTCGAGTTCATGTTTTAGAAATATGTTGAAATTTTGTATTTTCTTTTAAGAATTTTTGTTTAATAAAATTTAGGAGTGGAAGAAATGTGTTACAATTCTTGCCGTACTCAACATTGTGGTGACCCGGACATGATAAAGGAATGGATGCAATATTGAGAAAACGCAGAGCTACTAGAGCTTCCTTTACCAAAACGTTTAATACTTTATTTGAAGAATTACCAGATGATGAAGTATTAAAATTTAAAAGTGCCACGTTAGAACGACTCTATGGAATATTAAATGATTTCAATTCAAAAGTACTAGAAAAAAAGTTTGAAACTGATGAAGAATTTGAAATGGAACATACAAGAACAGAAGAGTATAATGAAAAGATGGATCTCGCTCGCGTAAAAATTGCAGACCATTTCAATAAAAAAGTTGAACCTTCCTTGGCTTCCTTTAGTTCGTCGCCAAAGCTAAGCAGACGAAAATTAAAGTTACCCAAGATTGAATTGAAACAATTCGGAGGTGACATTAAGGATTGGCTTACATTCTGGAATCAGTTTAAGCGTATCCACGATGACCTAGAAATGGAAAAAGAAGATAAATTCCATTATTTATATCAAGCAACCGTAGTTGGTTCCAGAGCTAGAGAAATCGTGGAGAGTTTCCCCGCCACTGCTGACAATTATGATAAGGTTATTGAATGCTTAAAAAATAGATTTGGTGGTGAAGAATTATTAATTGAATTTTATGTCAGAGAATTATTGAGTCTAGTTATTAAAAATGCCACAGAACAACCGAGAAGAATAAATGTAACTCATTTATACGATAAATTGGAATCCTACCTTCGTTCTTTAGAGTCAATAGGTATGACCAGTGACAAATACGCAGCAATGTTATTCCCTTTGGTTGAATCGTGCATTCCTGAAGAGATTTTAAGAGTTTGGTTAAGGAGTTATTCAACAACAAAGGTTCAAGAAAATACGTATTGTGAAAAATTGAAGCAACTGCTATTGTTTCTGAGAAACGAAGGGGAAGGAGAACAACGAATTTCTTTAGTGAGAACTGGATTCAAATTTATTGCTGCTGGTACTAAGAAAGAAAAGAAGACTGAAGCTGATATATTTATACCAACAGCAAATGAGTTATTTTCTGGAAGTAAAAGCTCGAGGACTGTGGTAGATAGAAGGTGTGTATTTTGCGACAAAAACCACGAGAGTAAAGATTGTTTTACGGCAGCCAAATTGGCTTACCATCAGAAGCAAGAACTAATTAAGAATAAGAAAGCTTGCTTTATATGTCTTAAGTTTGGACATAAAGCAAAATATTGCAAATCAAGTGTTAAATGTCTAATTTGTGCTAAGAGACATTGGTCGATCATGTGTGCAGAATTATCGCCAAACAAGCACGAAGTAAAAGATGAAAAAGTAATTGATTCGAGTGAATGCCAAAATGTAATACTTGCGAATTCTTGCTGTTCTGGAGAGATATTCCTTCAAACTTTAATGGTAAATATTGAGAGTAAAGAAGGAAAACGTGCTATAAGAGCATTAATTGACACTGGCTCTCAACGCTCATATATTCTGAAGAGCACTGTTGAGGAACTGAAATTTCGCCAAATTGATACTCAAACATTGATTCATAGCTTATTTGGAGGGTCAAAATCAAGCAGCGAAATTCATAATCTTTTTTCTATTAAAGTTACCGATTTGAAAAATAGTTATAGTTGTAATATGCATGTTTTGGATCAACATAAAATTTGCAGTTTTGTTCCACGACTTCATGATGGACCTTGGATGCAGGAAATGGTACTGAAGGGCATCTCACTTAGTGATATTGGGAATCATCGACAGCCTATTGAGTTATTAATTGGAGCCGATGAAGCAGGAAAACTTTACACTGGGAAAGTGTGCAATTTGGCGTGTGGTTTAACTGCAGTAGAGACTTATTTAGGATGGGTCATTATGGGGAAAATGAAACCCTCAGTAATTGACGCCAATCTTTCGAATGTTTTGATTTCTCTATTAACTCAGACCACTGACATAGAAAACCTTTGGAAGCTTGAAGCAATAGGTATAACAGATGCATGTGAAATAAAAGATCAAAAGGAAATAGAGGACGCAGTCCAAGTGCACTTCGAAAGAACAGTTAAATTGAATTCTGAAGGACGGTATGAAATTTATTTGCCATGGATCAAAGAAGCCAACATCTTGCCTGACAATAGAAAAGTAGCCGAAAAAAGATTACTATCAACTACAACAAAACTTAACGAAGCTAATAAATTTTTCGACTACAATGCAATTTTTGAAAATTGGTGTAAGGAAGGTGTTATAGAAGAAGTCCCTGAACAACTTAAAGGCAATAGTGCACATTACCTTCCTCACCGAGCAGTTTTTAAAAACAGCTTGACAACTCCGGTGAGACCCGTTTTTGATGCATCTGCCAAACAGAAAGGATCTTTTTCATTAAATGATTGCTTAGCCAAGGGGCCAAATTTGCTGGAACTGATACCCGTGATAATTCTAAAATTTAGAGAAAACAGCATTGGGGTAATTTCCGATATAAAAGGTGCCTTTCTTCAAATTTCAGTAAATGATAAAGATCGTGACTACTTACGTTTCTTGTGGTGGAAGGATGATAATAAAACAGAAATAAAACTTTTCAGACATTGTCGTGTAGTGTTCGGGGTAAACTGCAGTCCGTTTCTGCTTGGAGCAGTTATCAAATTTCATTTGAGACAGTTTGACTCTGAAATTGCCGAGAAGTTATTATATTCTTTTTATGTGGATAATTGTGTCACTTCTGTGAATACTGAAGAGGAATTGCGGAACTTCATCAATAAATCGACCGAAATAATGGGCAAAGGAAAATTTGACTTAAGATGCTGGGAGCATACGAAAATACATAATGATGAAGATGAAGAAAAAGAGGAAGTAACTAAAGTACTTGGATTACTGTGGAACAAACGAGAAGATTCCTTGTTTTGTGATGTACCAAAAATGAAGATGAAAGATATGCCAATCACACGGCGTACAGTGTTATCTGTGGCTCAAAGAATATTTGATCCAATTGGATTTAGTTGTCCAGTCACATTGATACCAAAATTGATTCTGCAAAAAAGTTGGCAAGAAAAACTAAGTTGGGATACCGAATTAACAGAAGATTTGAAAAAGGAATTCTTAGTTTGGCTTGAGGATTTATCTTTATTATCATCAGTGAGAATTCCTCGCCAAGCAACAGCAGTTAATAGAATTTCCAGTAGTTTGCATGTTTTTGCTGACGCTTCAAAATATTCGTACGCAACTGCCATTTTTCTTAGAAATGAATCGCAAGATGAAATAAAAGTGCAACTTTTACAGGCGAAGTCAAGAGTTTCTCCACTGCGAAAAATTACGATTCCAAGACTTGAATTATTAGCTTGTTATATTGGCGCTAAGTTATCTGAATTCGTCACGAAAAGTTTAACTCTGGAAATAAATGAAACATATTATTGGACGGATTCAACAACTGCCTTGTTCTGGATTAAGAAGAATGACCTACCCTGGGGAACATTCGTTTGTAACAGAGTGAAGAAAATACGTGAATGTAGTGATCCCAAGGATTGGAGACATGTTCCTGGTATTAGTAATCCTGCTGACTTGCCATCTAGGGGATGCACTGTTTCAAAGCTTCTGGAAACTAAATGGTGGGAGGGCCCACTTTGGTTGTCCAAGTCTAAAGAAGAGTGGCCTAATTCAACCCCAATAAAAAATGAAGAGGAAATATACTTAGAGCAGAGAAAAACCGTTGTGGCAACTCTTACCTGCAAGAACACTGAAAATTCATGGATGCTAGCATATTTTTCGAATTACTCAAAAATTTGCGCAATGCTTTAAGAGAAAGATTTAGAAGTGAGTACCTTGGGCAATTATTACAACGATCATCAAAGAGCAAACCGATTGAACCTTTGAAAGTAGGAGATATTGTTTTAATCGAAACTGACGGTAAAAAAAGAACTTTATGGCCAATGGCTAAAATAATAGATGTTTTTCCTGGTAAAGATGGGCAAGTACGAGTGGTTTGCCTTAAAACTTCATCCTGTGAACTCGTCAGACCTGCGCAGAAGATTTTCCCACTCGAAATTTCCTCACCCACTGAACCTAATCTAATGAATAATGACGCATGCAAGAATAAACCAGAGAAGGACTTGCAGGTAGTTGGAAAAAACAGTAAGAACGAGAAGTGGAAGACTTATTAAAGTGCCAATTAAATTTTTGAGCTGAAAAACTTGGACTTTCGGAACAGTATTTTTAACATTATAATTTTCATTCATTTTACTCATAGAAATATAATTAGTTTTGATTAGTAAAGTAAACCTCCAATCAAAACGGTGGGAAGATTGTTACGTTTTGAAATAAGAATTGGATAGGTTTTGTATAATGGAGAGTTGGGTGAAAGCGTTTTTATTTGTCTCTAAAATAACTTTTGACTTATACAATGGAACTCGAGTTTATGTTTTAGAAATATGTTGAAATTTTGTATTTTCATTTAAGAATTTTTGTTTAATAAAATTTAGGAGTGGAAGAAATGTGTTACAATTCTTGCCGTACTCAACAGCTTTAATATTGAGTAATAAAGGAATTACTTATTACTTTTACAAAAAAAGATTAATTATAAATGACAAAAAGGAAAACATCTTACTTGTCATTTTCATTATCCATCATTACGTCTCCATATAAAGTTTCCTCTAAAAAACAACAATTATAAATGCCTTAAAATGATATTAAATTTCTTTAAAAAAAATGAAATTATATAAAATAATATAAACATAATATTTGTATACATGATAATATAATAATAGTTATCACAGATGTAACTAAAACTTTCTGGAAAGAAAACTTTTTCATTTATACAAATACACATGGTAAATAAGTTAATGAAGAACAATACGAATTATCTGAAGCATGTTATTCTAAGAACGGAAAATAAAGAACTTTCAAACAGTAACAAATGCAACCTAAAATCTTTTAAAATTTATCACGACTGCATTTATATCAAAAAATATCTAACCATATAAAAAGACTATAATTCTAAATAAAAAATATCATTCCTTTTTAAATGTCACTATGTGAATTAACTTAATATTCATAAATAAAAGTCTGCCTTTTGTTCATGTTACAAAAAAAAATTTAAATAGATAAAAACTTTCAAAAAATTAAGTATAAGCCACACACCTGATTTGATCATTATAACTCAAAATGTTTAAAACCAAGAAGCCACACCTAAATTTTGTTTCAAACATCTCGCCAGATGTGATTAAATTGTTAAAAAAAATTGGATATAGCACACAGTTTTGCATACATCTTATACTTCAACCACTAGTAGGAATTAATCTATTCATCATAAAAACATTAATGACAGAGCATTTAGATGTTATAGAAATAGTGGTAGATGTTTAGAAAAATGCAAATAATTTACCCAAATCACCCTGATTGCCAACACTTGATTTAAACATTATTACCTTCTGGTTATCTCAGAAATTCAAAATCCAAAACAGATAGATTGACATCATGTGATCAACAACTTGGCCCACTTGAGCAAAAAATTAAAAATATGGAGCCAAACTTTACCATTTGCCCACTCATGATTCAAACCTTATGGTTTACAATGCATCTCAATTGCCTAAAACCAAAAAGATAGACTGAAATCATGTGGTAAAATCAGGATGAGGGTTAATATATAAAAAAGGTTCATATAGCCTAATATCAATAAAGACTGCCAGCTATGGTCTAGAGCGTGTTTATCATGTCAACAATCTAATGAACATACACAGTCCGCACAAGGAGAATTGGCAATTCCTCAACATACATTCAATCACTTAAACATCGATATAGTTGGTCCCTTATCCATTTGCAAAAGATTTAGATATCTTATAAATATGATTGATGGCTGGCTATACACGATGGATTGAAGCTGTTCCATTCGAAAATCAATCTGCAGAATCAATCCCCAAAGCTTTGATTTGTAACTGATTTTCACGTTTTGGGACTCCAACTTGCATAACATCTGACCAAGGTCGACAATTTGAAATCCAGCTATTCCGTGCCTTGGGAAAATATTTTGGATTTCTTACCATCACTACAACAGCCTATCAACTGCAAACAAATGGATTGATCGAAAGACAACATAGAACTTTAAAAGCAAGTCTCAAATGCCATCTACTAGAATCAAAATCATGGCTGGAAACACTTCCTCTCGTTCTAGTGGGAATAAGAGCCACCATCAAAGACTTGGGTTGCTCATCTGCAGAGCTAGAATATGGTACTGTCTTATCATTACCAGGGGAATTCTTTTCAATAATTCCTGAATTCTCTCAAAACTTACAGAGAATTATAAGGAAGATGAAACCTATCTCTACCACAATCGATGGAAAAAGAACAGTTTTCATTTCAAAACAACTTTCAAACTGGTCGCACATATTCTTCTACAACAACAACACCAATTCTTCACAACAAACTGCCTATCTTGGACCATAGAAAAGATAAATACTTCGATATTGAAATTCAGGGGAAAATCAAAAGATTTTCAATCGACAGGTTAAAGCTATGCTTTCAACTAGAAGATAGTGATATCCCCTACCAAAAATCATTATCCGACAGGAGAGAACTTAATGAAAGACCAAAATATAAGTCAGTGAAAGAGGGTTCAGAGGAATACAAAACCACTGGATCCGGCAGTAAAGTGAAATTTCCTAGTCATCTGAAAGATTATGCGTCATAATCGTTACCAATATTTGCCAAAATACAACGCTACCTATAATTAATTTTTGATTATTTTATTATTGAAACACTGGTAACTTCTAAATCAGGACAACTGCGAACTCTGATTTAAATAAATTTTAAGTCATCAATTATTTAAATTTTTACAAAGGTTTGAATATGTAGAATAAGATTTGCAAGGAAAAAAAAAGTACATTTATTTTACATGATACCGCAGTCTGTTTCATTTAATCTGAGAATAAATAGAAAAATTTAATTTGATTAAAAAAAAAATAATCTGATTGAACCACTCTATCTAGATTTTCTTGATTCATTTGTTAAAATTTTTGCTTTCTGTAATTCATCATTCAATGTTATAAGTGTTCTTATTTATTTTCTTTTAAAATCATTAACAGGTGGATAGGAGAGTGGTGATTGGCTGTTAAGGCCGCTTGATACATCTTTTCATGCCTCAAAAAATCTAAACAGAAGATGAAAGTATTGACATTTTATGTTTTGCTCACATACAAAGAGTTTGATGATAGAGAAGGCAAACTGATCTAGCATTAATACAAAAGATCAATATTTAAAATCGATATGACAGATTACCAAAAATGAGGAATGCAGTTAAAGCGTTGACTCCGATGACTTTAAGAAAACATTATGATTACGAATAATTTATTAGCTTCCGAGGAAAAATTGCAGATAATTAACAATTGATGATAGTTTTAAATCATGCATAATTCCTTTATTTTTTAAAAAATATCCATTACATAAATATAGAGGTTTTTTCTAGTTTTATCAGGTGTGGCTTAAAGTGGTAAATTTATTTAATTTTGCGATTCTTTTATTGTTATCAGTCAGTTAAAAGTTATTAAGATCATTGTGTCTGAAAGTTATCACATTAAATGGAAGCTACTGTATTTAATTTTTTATCTATAAGCAAAATATCTAAGAGTTTTCATGTAAATATTAAGTAGGAAATTATTTATATTAATAATCTGACAAAAAATTCATTTCTCATTTTCTCCCAGTTTAAATTTATAGTTACAATACTGAAAAGCTTTTTTTTTTTTTTTACAGAATTTTTAGATTGCAAACTTTTTTAAATGTCATTCTACATAAAATATATTTGAAATCATAAATAAATCTTAAACCATTAAATTTCAACTTAGGATATTTTCTCCGAACATTAAAATATAGTTCTTCATTCTTCTTTATGACAAAGTTAACTTAACTAACAAAGCTGACAGAAATTTTACATTTATTTTTAATGCTACCAGTTTATTTAAAATGTTGTACAAAGTTTTTGTTCTAGTTTTGAATTTAGACATTTTAAGATGCCTAGAAAATAATATTAGAATCAAGCAGGGGCAAATGGTGTGGGCCTTGTGACTTGGTTAATTTTTAGTAACATTTCGCATGCTTCTGCTGAGGTGTTCATTACATGATTTTGGTCCGCCTTTTTGGATTTTGAACATTTTGGAAAGAAAGTAATGTTTGCATCAAGCGTGACCTTTATGTGTGTGTGTGTGCATTTACGTGCGTGTGTGCATTTACATGTGTGTGTGTTACAAGTAGGACTGGGCGATATTGGAAATTATATATCGTGATGCATCGTCAGTTTTGCATCCCGATATAGCGATGTATCACATATAGTATGTATATAGTATTTTTGAATTTCATTTACTTGTAAGGCACAGAAAGTCAGATTTCTATCAAAACTTCATACTCAGATTGATTTAAATCAATTTATAAATTTGAAGATATATATGTTTTGCTTAATAGAGAGATATTAAATAAATAGACTACAATGTACAAATCTTACTTAAAATATTTATTGAAATGTTTGTTTAGAAATTCATAATACGCGTAAAACAAAGTGCTAAAAACTCTTTTTAAAGCGTTTTTTACAAATTAATATTTTCTTGTACTATTATGCATAAATAATGACATAATTAGTAAGTTCGATCGTAATGTTCAATTTCTAAATGAAACGTTAAAAATTATTTGTATGTTTAAAACAAAGTGCTAAATAAATTTTAGAAAAAAAAATGCTTTTAAAACACTATTTTTTATTATTATAGTTCATTTACGTCACTCTAGAGCTGCACAATGGGCTATTGGCGACGGCCTGGGAAACATCCCTGAGGATGATCCGAAGACATGCCATCACAATTTTGATCCTCTGCGGAGGGGATGGCACCCCCGCTTCGGTAGCTCGACGACCTGCACGCGAAGTCGAGCACTTTACGGTAGAACAGTTTAACGAGGACCAATACCGCACACCCTCGGTCCCTACGCAGACTGATCCAAGTGGTCACTCACCCGCACACTGACCGCAGCCAGTGATGCTTGACTTCGGTGATCTGCAGGGAACCGTGTCTTAACGATCAGTCCACTGCGGGACCTTATCATTTCAGATAAATAATTAAATTAAATTAAATAATGACCGAATTATGAACGAAAAACAAAGTAAGATTTAATTTCTTAAAAATAAAAAAATTGTGATATTCGATAATATATTTAGCTAATTAACAAATAATATGAAAAGAATATTTTTTAAAAAAAATTATTATACTCTCTAATAAAACGAAGTGCTAAATGATTTAAAAAAATGAATAAAATACGCAAACCTTTCAAATTTTTTTGTATAAACAAAGTTGATTGACTTATGTCCAAATCCAAATGACAAAAATAAATTTTGTTTTAACTTTATTTCTAAAAATAAAAACAACAAGATTTATAAATTTAAAATCAGTAATAAAAACTCATTAAATTATTAGAAGTTTCATCCAAAAAGTTTTTAATAAATTAAAAGAAAGTAAAAAAATAACCTAACAAATTCAATTCTTTATGGGCGCCTAAATTAGATTGCCGATAATTTTCATTAAAAATAAAAAGAATTTTTTTTAAAAAAAAACTTATCTAATTAATGAAGAAACTCTTCTTTATATATTCTTTTCAATAATAGATTGCCTTCAGAACA